GGAGAGGGAGAGAGAGAGATAGAAACATCAATGATGAGAGAGTCATTGATCGAGACCACAACCCTGGCATATGCCCTGACCGGGAATCGAACCCTGATCGCCTGGATCCTAGTTCGACGCTCAACCGCTGAGCCACGCCCGGCCGGGCAAGACAGAAATCTTGTCTGTGCTTTTAAGCACAGCCAATAAAAGTATTCCTCCTCTAACTCTGCAGAAGTCTAAGAATCCCAAATCCTTGCCACAAATTACATTTCATTTCATTTCACTTCATTTTATTTTAAGTAAATTTACATTTAATTGGTAATCCACTTAAAGAGATGCTGGGGATACAAGAAAGAAGGAAAAATCTTTTTACTTAATAAGCTAAAGCCTACTGGGAAGACAGGCAAATATATCAACGATGGTGACACCATATCAGTGCAACAGTAGATGCAGGCACAACCAGGCATGGGAGCACAGAGTAAGGGCATTCAACCCAAACCTCGGTCAAATTTAAGGAAAACAAAAAAGTGGAAGATGGAGAGAAAATATGACATGTTCAGGAAAACTATAAAGAGCTTCTTGTGAAGAACATAAAGCAGGCAACAGTGGTAAAAAGTATGCCTTGGAGAGGAAGGCAGGAGCCAGAACAAAGAGCTTGGTGTGCACTACTAAGGACTTAGGGCTAAAACCCTTAGGGATTTAAAGTTATTAAGGATTTCAATTGGGAATGAAACAATTGACTTGAGCAAGACTTTAGGTAGAGTGAAAACTACTGTAGCAAATTAGAAGAAAAGTTGTAAGGATGATGGTTATGGAGAGTGGGAGAGAGACATTCTAAGTCACATGATAACCAACTAGAAGGGAAAGGAGGCACCAAGCATGACCCCCAAGTTCCTTGCTTGACTGACTAGCTTTAGGGGTACTATGTACTGAGACAGAGAATGCAAAAGGAAAAAGCTGGAGTGGAGAAGGAGGACAGATGACAACTCTAATGTTTAATTTGTGGTGCTGGTGGAATCTTCTTACTGTTCAGTCGGAAGTGAGATACATGGGTCTAGAACTTCTGAGACAATAAAAAAATGTAAGCAGACAAAAAAAGCAGAAACTAATTTCCATAAAGAGTTGCACAAACTCAAGAAATAGTGGATGGAGGAAACAGAATTTATAAGGTACATAATTATAAAATAAAATTTTTAAAAAAAGGTACATAATTAAAATCCCAGAGAAGTCTGAGAGGGTATCACATATGGATAAACAACATAATAAGATATAAACATATTGCTATGAAAAATAATCAGAATTCCTTTAAATTGATAAAAGGATTGAAATATAAGATCTACTATACCCCTTTGAAGCATTCAGGCACTAGTTGCACAATCTTATGTGAGAAAACTAATAGGACGCCCATTCTACAAACAAGGAAACCAAGGTTGTAATGGTTAAGTAACCAAGTGTCAGGCAGTCTGAGTCTAAGGCCTGCAATCTAGATGGGCTAAATAGCACAACGAATACACGCCTAGGATGGAAAATTGAGGGGTTCATCTAGAATGCAGAATAAAAGGACAAATGGAAAGATTAAAGTAAACACCCATCTTGTAGGAGTTCTATGAATATAGTAGATAGAATGAAGGGAAAGAAACAATCATGAAATAACAAAAAACAAACAAAATGCTTCTTAGAACTCAAGATTCAGGGCCCACTGAATGCTAAAAATGGTATATGATATCTCAGGACTTCAAGGAAAAAAGAAATCCCAGAAAATGCTAAAAGCATCCAGACAGAAAAGCTAGGTTATATGCACATAAATGAGAATTATAATGACATTGAATTATTAATCAGCAATAGTGGACACCTGAAGATAATTGAAAAATATCTTCTAATTTTGGAGGAAAAGTGTTTGTGAAATTAGTATTCTATTCTAATCAACCATTTCAGTGGGAGGAATAGATAGACACTTTTGCAGACAAGAAAGGATTTAAACTACTACTGAAATAATCACTCAGAAACATACGATAGCAAAAAAGTTTTAAAAATTATTTCACGAGCCCTGGCTGGTGTGGCTCAGTGGGTTGGAGCATCGTCTTGTGCACCAGAAGGCTGCGGGTTTGATTCCCGGTCAAGGGCACATACCTAGGTTTTGGTTTGGCCCATTTGGGAGGCAACTGATCAATGTATCTTCCTCCCTCTCCAAAAAAAAAAAATAAATAAAATTACTTCATGAAACAAGAAATAGCAATGAGCAAAGAAGTCAATAAAACAGAAAATTAAGTTGAAGTCAACTGTTGATACATAAATAATAATTAACTAAATTAACCCAAACCTTATAAAACAGAATGGAGCCCCCCCAGTAAAATATATTTAAAAAAAACAAGTATTAGCTTTAAGAAAGAAAAAAAAGGAACTGTAATCATAGTATAGTATATACTACTTGACTCTGCAGGAAATAAGAATTATGAAGTCAAAGCAATGTAAGCACTAATCACTGATGCGACTGATAAATTCTTGCGAAAATAAGCATGTTGGGAAAGTAATGTAAAAGCTAAATCTTTGCCCTGGCCAGTGTGGCTCAGTTGGTTGGAATGTCATTCTATATACTGACAGGATGCAGATTCAATTCCTGGTCAGGGCACATACCTAGGTAGCGGTATCAGGGCACTTAGGGGAGGCAACTGATTGATGTTTCTCTTTCTCCCTCCCTTCCCCTCTCTCTAAAATCAATAAACATATCTTTGGTGAGGGTTAAGTAAAAAAACAAACAAACAAAGAAACCCCTAAAAACCCCTAAATCTTCATCCTTTTAAGGAAGTCTAATATTTGATATTAGAAAATATCAAATATTAAATTGAAAAATAGCAGTATATCATAACATAATAAATTCAAATTAAAACTATACTGAGGGTCCAATTTCTACCTGTTACACTGGCAAGACCATAAAGCCTGAAGAGTGTGTCTTCAAGCTTGTGAGTGTAAATTGGTATCACCCCCCCAACCAGCCAACAAGGACATTTTGACAATTACCTATCAAAATCACAAATCTATGCACTCAGCATTTCAGTTTGGGGGTTTCCTTCTTCTGATTTCNAAATGTATGCACTCAGCATTTCAGTTTGGGGGTTTCCTTCTTCTGATTTCCAGGCACAGCTGTGAAATGATATTTACACAAGATTTACTCATTGCAGATGGTCTGTGATAACAATTGACCAGAAGAACCTGGGTAGAGTGGAGCTGGGGACATGAAAGACAAGTTTTCACTGTGCATCTTATTTTTTATTTTTACAGTATAACTTTAATGATTTAAAAACATTTAGTATACTTGGAAATTTTACTTTTCTTTGCTACTCATGCATAATTTATTTCCCACCTTTCTCTAATATCCTTGTTCTACTTTTTAAAAAGCTTTATTTAGGTATAACTGACAAGTGACATTTGTGCACCTTTTAATGCTTCCTTTTTAAAAAAGAAGTAGCTGCATAAGCATATAACTTGGAAATAAAAAGGCAAATACAACAAGAAACAACTTAAAGGATTAAAACTGAGTGGCTCTAAGAAGCCACACCATGTGGCATGAGGAGCAGCAGAGCAGGGAGACTGGTTTTTATTATAAGCCTTCCCATACAATTTGCTTTACCTAGGTGAATGTATTACTTTGTTTACCAAGTTTAAAAGTAATGGCAAAAAGGAAAAGGAAAAAATAATAAAAGTAAAACAGTGTAGTTTGGAACAGTCAAAATTATTAAATGGTCAAAGGACACTGCCAACATTCTTGCTGCGCAATACTTGGAAATGGCTGCAGGAGTGATAGGTGTATGAAAATCAGTGGGCAGGACTGTGTTAATGGTAGGTTGTATAAGTAGCAATAAAACCTTGTAATATTAGTTTTTAAAATACTAAGAATGAGTATGTAATATTGGAAGAAAATGATGACATTGAGAAGAAAGGTCCTGTTTTACAGGGAGTTAATGTGACATAACAAAGATCTCTACAATATTGCACAAAATAGCTAGTTGAAAAATATATACAATATAATCTCATAAAATTTTAACAAATATATTTGTAATATACCCACATATATATGGAGTACCTAGAAAAAACAGGATCAACAATTATTGGT